TATATATATCACACATTTACATACACGTGTGTTTTACATCTGTCTGGCATTTTTCATTAGCTAAACTGAGCATGCGATACTTGTAAGTCTGTTCATATTGCATTCACTAGGGATACAAAAGCACGGCAATTGTGATATAACAGACCCTCTGTGATGTATTGGGTTCTGTCACAGCACTGAAGAGAATGCTGTAATCTGTTTCTCATCCACTGTGAGATCTGATCCCCCTGTAGCATGTGATCCTAAGCAGGACCTGTACATGCTGGGTGTGAATGATCAGTATCTGGTAACATTGCCCACAGCAGAAAACATGTGCAGGAAATGGTACTATTGCTACAGGAAAAAGGCTAACACATCGGTTCTTTGGTAAGGAAGCAATCTGCATTTCCACTGGGATGTGGTACTGATAGTCTTGCCAAGATGTGACACAGCTGTAATTATGGGTTAATCACAGCCTTAGGCTCAGATGTGTCAATTCATGTGAAACCCACCATACGTCTAATATAAATTCAGCGGCCCAGCAGAATTGGGTAGGCCTGCTTAACCCCCATGCTCTGCAATGGCGGCTCCAGTCTTTTTATGTACTGGAAGTGGGTGAGGGGTGACATTACAAACTAACCTCTTGCACTGATGTGTCACGCAATCCATACTTCAATCTACATCACTCAGCTGTATCCAGCAATTAAGAGATCTGACACAATTCCAGCTTGCTGCCCACCTATGTGATTCCAGCCCAGACATAATTAATTTACTTTTAAAGCTTAAAACACACATTAAAGTGGATTTTACTTAAACCGTGCCCACAAGAGAATTGCCTACAGCAGGGAGAATGTGATTTTTAAATTATGAAAGTTCTACTTGTGGGCACAGATGAAAACCAGTTGGTCACAGCTGACAAACAAATAGTTAGTCATAATTTAACTTCTAAGCAACTTCACTATACAGCTAGCTAATTGCAGGCTGACAGAAGCAAACTAAAAGAAATCTCATGTAAACTGCAATACAATAATTTTTTAGGCCACCTAAAATAGACTTAAACAAAAAAAGGGCCTACACTTTATAGTTGAACCTACATGGACCTGCAGCAGCTTTCCTTGTCCCTGCAATGCCTGATTACTGGGCAGAACTCCATCACTTCCAAGCAGTGTCAGAACTTGCTTGCTCCGTTCCTGCCCTCTGACATTCCCTAAGGCTGCATACTCTGAACAAATGTAGTGTCTTCTTTCACACACAGTTTTTGTTAACATATAACCATGGTTAGTAGCTGGAAAGGAGATGTTCTATTTCAGTACATGCTAGATGTCTGACTGTAATGCTGATCCTCTGGTTTTTAATACTTTCCAAGTCAATGGCAAAGAACAGGTATGCAGAATATGAAAGCAGAATTATTGATCCGCATACTTCTTATGTGTTATATTGACCTAAATTTTGAAGCAAGAGGATGAGCATCATAGCCAGGTAGCCAATACTTTCAGTAGCAGTCCAGAATGAGAGCCTGTGTATTTCTCTTGTGTTAGGTTTCCTTGAAAGTGAATCTGTTACTAGAATAAAAACTTGTAAATGTGACCTACCAGCAAAGAAAAGATTAAATACTTACCACCTGTCCCTAGCTAAAGCTTGATAAAGAACCATCAGCATCTTAGACACTTCCAAGAGTATGGCATGCTTGGATCCGCTGTGTGTCGTGTGGATCCATCCACCTGCCCCAACGTCATTGCAAGCTACTGTAGGGACTGCGCCTAACGGGGGACCAGGCATCTGATATATTCCTTGAAGTCTGTTAGATGCTGAAGATTCAACAGGTACCTTTCCTCTTCAAAAAAAAGATCAGAGCCACTGGGAATAGGAAAGCCAAGCATTAAAGTAGAACTGAAACCAAAACTTTTTTTTTTTGGATAGAGTAAGGGAGGATTATAAGTTTAACCCTTGACAGTTTTTTGTTTTTTTTGCCATTTGTGTCCCATTGGGGAGATTTCCCATCACTTCCTGTCCTGTCCGACAGCCACAACATGAAGGAGGAAATCAAAAAAGAGAGGGAAATCCCTGGTGGTCAGCAGCGTCACCAGAACAAGTGGCCCCATTGGAAGATTTCCCCTCTATTCCTATTCTGATGACAATAAAAAAATGTGGATTGTCTTTCACTTTCATTGACAACAGCCACCAGGACAAGAGAGGGTGAATCTCACTCATGGGGACACAGAAAGCAATAAAAAACCTGACAGGCGTTCTCATCCCTCTCCACGCTATCCAAAATAAAAAATTAAAGGTTTTGGCTTCAGTTGCACTTCAAGTTCATTCTCTACAAGCATTTAGTAATTAAATGTTTTTTTCTTTTAGCAAAAAAAGAGTTGTGTCAAAGAAAACTAGAAAATAGAAATAAGCATATACATGAAAAGTAGGTAGTTCCAGGTGCAGATCTGTAAGACGTAATTAAACATTTTCACTGCAGCAGGATGGCCCAGGAGCTCCTGGTGCTATGCCAATTCTTGGTCCCGAAAACCAGCACCAAGACATCCAACAATGCAATGCATGTCACCTTCTGGTAGTTTAATTTAAAGCCGCCCAATGCAATGTGGGTTGTAACAGAAATTGACCTCTGTGCTAAACCAAAGTTCAGTATAATACAACACCATGCACCTCATAGTGAAAGATTTTTACTCAAGTGTTACTGACCAGCAAGTGGGGCTGAGTCTTTATACACATTATATATTATCCTTTTTTTCAGAAGACAGCCATATACATTAACTCTATATTACATTCTAAAGAAAATAAAAAAGATAAATGCTTTTACTTCTTGGTAACTGCGGTTCTGGAACTGCAAAAAAAGCACATGCAGGAGGATTAATACACATCACAAGTCACCACCATGTTAGATATGACCATTACATTAGCAGGTACCTTCCACTGATTAAACCAAGAGAACATGCTCAGAACTGAATATGAATCGATTTTAGGGATTGTGGAAAAAGTAGAGATTATAGTGGAATGTGCCAATTTCAAAATTAACCAATGTCACAATGAAACGTACCTTACAGACAGTTAGTAAAATTAGTAACAGATTTGTTAAATACATTTACTATAGTTTTGAAAGCACTTCATAATATACAACAATGTGCATGCTGTAATCAAAGAGAAATCAAAAATATGTAGGAGTTGTATACTGGAAATAAATCTGTTAAACACACCACTGCCTGGGACAGAATTTGAGAGATCTGGGATTAGAATAATGGATCAGAGTAATCTCACTAGAAAACAAGACAATGGGTGTTGAAGTGTGCCGCCTTTCTCTGGTAAGGCCTTCAAAGTTAACTGGGTCTTTTTAATAAGACAAAGTGAAGTAGGTAATATCAGCCAACCACAATTGACGAGAATCCTATTATGAATAGTGAAAGCAATGCAGTACTGACACTTAGCCCAAATGGCGGGTGCTCTGAACGAGCAAAGCGCCAGCACTTCCCCATAATGCTGAAACTTGCCTGCGACTCCCTCTTTCCACACATTTTTATTGGCAAGGAAGACAACTCATCATAATGATGGACCAATAGAAATGTGTGGGGGTGGGTCTTAGCTGCAAGGTCTGACACTACCTGGAAGCGTTGAAGGGACCGCTATCTGATCAGAATGCCCAACATTTGGGCAAAGCAGAGGACACTGAAAGTTATGAGCTGCTTCCAACAGGGTAATTCAAAAAAGGGTGAAGAGTTTGGAGAAGACAGGCGAAGTGAACAATCTCGGACAACATAGCCGATTTGGAAAAATTATCTAATTCAGCTCACTTTCCAGGTCAGCTATGTTGTCTTAGATCGTTCACTTCTCCTGCTTTCTCCAAACTTTTCACCCTTTAGTGAATAACCCTGTAACTATCGCTCTAAGAATCTGAAAGAATATACACTCCTGTCACAATTAAACATTCGGCCTTAAGAAGGTTCAAGGAACAAAGCCCAACTAGGGCTTCAGTTTTCCAGTCTCAGTAATGTTGTCTGTAATCTGGGAACCCCCTTTGGCTTACCTAACTGGAAAGCAGGAGAGACATTCCAAAACCCTCCCAATTTCCTTGAGGTCTTTCCCATACAGAAGGCCAGATAGACCCAGTGTTTAGTACCAAGATGCTTCTTACTATCATCAATCATATTCAAACCAGCTGTGAAAGTTTAAATCTGAATAATGATATGCAACAAGATGAAGCAGGTTGCAGAACACTGGCTTCAGGAAATATAGAGATCCCACATGTAAGAAGCTTTGTAAAATTTGGATGCAGTGGTGAACAAGGAACTTGAATTAACTGATCGTCACCGGCCATATGCATACATGTGGCAGCACAACAGATAGTTTTATCATTGGACTGCCACATATAAGCATATAGTCCACACCGCACTGTTGTGCTGGGATCACGTTCACTTGCCGTACCCAGCACAGTGGCCACAGAATCACAGACAGCTCCTGGGTCACTGTTAACGATCAGGAGCCAGGGATGGGCTCCTGATGGCATGATCACTGTGATAAGCCTATCACAGTAATTATATGATCGGGAAGCTCGCCTCCTCCTCCTAACGTTAAGAACCCCTTAATGGGTCGGCAGCGAGGGGTTAATAAATAGTGCACAGTTGTGGAGTTTGCTACAAAGCATGTCCCTGAATGACTAAAACCTGGCAAATCTACTCTTCCTCCTATCTATAAACAAGGATTGTTTGTGTTTTTACAGATTTTTTTTCTTTTCCAAATTATCTCAAATTTAGGTCAGGTTTATTAAATTATTACACATTCAATTGTGAATATTATTATATAATAAAAACCAAAACAAGTTCATAAGGAAGACCTTTACCAAACAACAAAGTTCATAAGGAAGACCTTCACCAAACAACTATAACTTAATTTTGGTTGAAGGACAATCGGACCAGATGGTGTAGGTAAAATTTTAACTTTAGAGCAGGGCAAAACAATAGATTTACTTTATTGCCCAGTCCCACAGCATCACATACATTCCCGTCCTTCCCATGCTGGGAGTAAAGAAAGGAATCCCAGTGTAAGTCACACGTATGAGAACTTTCTACCTGCCACCATGTGACAGCATTAGGCCAATCATCAGCTGCAAAAGTCACGTGAGAGGAAGGGAGCGAGTCACATGCTCCACCATATATGGGTATTTTCTTTTTGTCCCAGTGGCTGTAGAAGGTTAAGTTGGGGTATATAATGCTGGGGAGGGGGGTAATAAAAAGGAGCCTGTTGCCCTTCCCTGCATGGGAAAAGCACAAGTTTGCTTTAAATGTAACTGTTCTAAGAGAAATACAAAAAATAAAAGAACCCAGAGATATGAACATTACTCACCACAATGGTATGGTAGACCACTGCTCAGTCATATTACCACAAACCACATTCATAAAACTTTACTACAAAAGTGGTCAATAATATACTTTGTACCACACATTTGTTTCTGTGATTGTTACAGAGACCAGCAGGCCACACTGAAAATAAGGTCTGTCATACCATATCATATCATCTGTTTTATGCAGTTTTCTCTTTTGTACAGTTTTATCTAAATGGTGTTCAATCTAAATACAGTAAACTCCTCATTATCCGGCATTAAAACAACCAGCATAAAAATGTTTTTTTATAAATCAAGGACATATGTCCACAATGGTTTTTTGCAAGTGGCTTGATCTTTGTTTACATCTTGTTGCGAGCCGGTGGCTAGATTCCGTAGTCAGCAGCAGAATGTAAACAATGGGGACCAATAGTCAGCCTGCTATCAGCTATTTCAATCTTTATTAGCAGGCTAGCTATTGTAGCCGCCCACTGAGCAGAGGAGCGGACCCGAGAGAGAACTTTCTCTCTCAGGTCCACTCCTCTGCTCAGCAAGCAGGGTTTCAATAGCCAGCTTGCTTTTTCTCCCGGAGGCTTACATTCACCTCTCGGCTGCGAAAACAACACCGTGGTGGGTATTGATTGCTTGAGAGTTACAATTAATTCTCAAGCAAGCAGAAACTACAGTTATCCGGCTCCTACCGATCCCCGCTGGTAGCGGATAACAGGGAGTTTACTGTATTGATTTTTATGTAGACCCAATGAGTGAAGATTAAAACATACATGTAAAGCTTTTTTTTTTTTTTTATGTATTTTTATTTTGACAAAATATAAAGGTTAGCGGCCTCTCAGATTTTGATATGGTCTGTGTGACCACTTGGCAGATTTCCCCTCCCTTCCTGTCATGATGACACCTGTCACAGTGACATGAAGTGTGGGTAAATCTCTTCAATGATGTCACAGATAGCAATAAAATCTGATGGGGGTAATATCTATTCCCTCCTATGTTGAACAGAATTTTTTTGTATTACGGTCTGATCCACCATTGCAGAGAACTCCCATCATTTCCTCTCCTGGTAAAGGCAAATCTCCCCCACAGGGACCCAGGCAGCAATAAAAACCTGGACATAGCTGCTAATTCTTTCCTACATTATCCAAATAAAAAAGGTTTTATCTGGAGTTGCTCTTATCCCTGGTACATTAATACATTTTATTTTCTTAGCAATAACATGACTGAATATAAGTCTTAGATTTGTAAGCCATGATACAGCAGACCATGGGGGTGAAAAAATGTAAAGAAGAACTGTGGCTGGGCTATGGACATTTAAATATTTACGTATTCTTAACAAGCAGTAAAATACGCTTTGCAAATGATCCCTCATTGACCTCTGTAGCTGTGGACACTACAGAGCAATTCATCCTCAAAATTCAGAGAAGCACTGAAGCTGTTCATGTTGGGTTTGGGCACCCTGCTCCCTCTCCTTCCTGTGCACCTTGCTTTTTTTACATTAGAGATTAGAAGGCTGTCAAGTCAGTTCTGGGAGAGGGGAGCAAAACAAGCTACTGAGAGACAATGAAAGGTTTTGCTGTAAATCTTGAAAATGAATTGGTCTACAAAGCTTGCAGCTACAGAGGTCAGTGTGGGCTTGTTTTATAGCCCATTTGCTGCTGGTTAAGTAAATATTTGAATGTCTACTGACTGACCACAGTGCTACCTTAAGACAATAAATACAGCCATTAGACTCCATGTATCTGTGCCTTGAAACAATCAAATTTAACTATTAAATGACCATAAGCACAGACCCAACAGTACTCACGAACACCAAAATTGACTTACAGCCTTGGGTGGAGGTCTTCCTTGATTTAAGTGTCTCAACAGAGCAATTATTGACAGTATTAAGTAAAAATCATCACATACCTTGCTCCCCCAGTGCCATCTCCAGAGTCTTGACTTCCAGCCTCACTTGGTGTGCTCACAGACTTAGAGGAGGGAGACGTTGGTGGAGGGACTAAATAGTGAAACAGACACGTATCCTCTGTTACTATTCGCAGGGGTTGGACTGCTTAAGATGTTTCCAAAGCAAGTTAAAAAGTGAGGGGTTGATAAAAAGAAACACAAAAAGGGGTAACGGAAACAGAAGGATGGCAAACCAAAAACATACATGGATGGAGATGAAGAATGGGAAAAAAGAAGGGAAGAAAGAGTTACCAATCACATGCTGGATTATTCATGCATTTGCATCAAACATGTTGGTGACACACAGGGGAGAAAGAATGAGAAGTGATGAGAAAGGTTTAGGACATTCCATTTTCTCAGTGATGCTGCACTTTAAGACTGGTACATATAAGCACCCCATCTCCTCCACAGCATTATGTGTAGTACTACTTAATGAGGAACTATGGCCTCCCATTAAAAGAAGATGTAAAATCATTTTGGATAGATCAGAACCCCTGTCATGTTCCTGTTGCTCATATAAAGTTTTTTTTAAAAGTATTTACTTAACCACTTGCCCCTAAAGGGGGTATAACAACATCCCTAACACAAATAGAAGTGCCACAAAGAGCCAAATGGGACTTTTAAAAAAGGCATAGCTATTGTTGACACACATTATACTGCTAAAATAAACACATTATTTAAAAACAATCGTTAAAAAAAAAGGATTTAGTTCAAACTTTCCACACATATACAAACCCTCCCGGTCTTCCCATCTTATTACATACTCTAAATATACTTCTTAGTACACGTGATATATAAAATACCTGTTAATCAAATGTATCAATGCACAGTTCAAAGATCGGGAGACTAGGACTTCTCAACACATTTCATGTACCATGGGTCCTCTTCATCAGGAGCCATCTATAATTATAACATGGGTCTAATATCTATCAATAATTATACTAAAACATATCTATAAATGGACTTTGTTACAGTGCTGAATAGTATTAGGAAAATGCTTTTTCACAACCATTGAACCTATCCTTACATGCATTAGACCTGTAACGTATGCAAGTATGGGTTTAATGGTTGCGAGTAAAGCAATTTCCTAATATTATTTAACATTATAATAAAGTCTTTGTGTAGATAGCTCCTATATCCTCCTGAGGAAGTGGACCCTTGGTTCATGAAACAAGTTGAAAAGTAATTGTCTCCCCATCTTCGAATTATGTATTGATACATTTGATTAACATGTATTGAAGGGGTAGGCAACCATGGCACTCTAGATGTCTCATGAAGCATTGCAAGACTCTGAAAGTCATAGGTAATACTCCGAGAGGCTGTCTGTGTCACTACTTGGGAGAATCACTCTTCTGTTTATCCTGATGATTATCTCAGAGAAAGAAAGGGATAAGAAAATCCAAAATTTGGAGTAGTCACTAGAACAGGAATATAGGGGAAATATATCAATAGGGATACTTGTTGCAGTGACAACTCTCTAAAGGGATTTTCCTCACTTTGTCAATCATTTTGGAGAAAAAGTTAATTCCAAATTATCATATCTATGACTGATTTATTTTTATGTGTATGGCCAGCATATCGCTGAACAATATTCAATTTTAGTTTTATTGACCAGGCTATCCCATCATCATATGCTTATATACCAGAGCTTAAAGCATCATTGCACTAAGACCCCAGTCCCTAGCCTGCACATCATTCAATTATCTCACTGTACCCCTTAAGTGGACAAAATTCTGAACATTATATAAAGACTAGTACCATCAAAGCAAATAAATGCTCTTAGATATGCTCTGCATTTGCATAGAGTTTGTGGTTAAAAAAAACAAAAAAAAACACACACACCTCCAAAACTCTTAGGTGGCAATGAGTACCCATTACACTTCATTTTATTATACTAGAATACCATGTTGGATAATTAGTTAAAATTATAATACATAAAGCCATGCAGGCTAGCAAAACTCCAGAAAACTCAGCGGCTTCCTATGTAAGCATCTATTGGTGGCTAGTGGTATAAATGTGATGTTTGAAGCCATATCTGACCTGCCATATAGTTTCTAATAAGACACAATCTCTTACAGAACTAGACATGTTTTTATGATGGCAAGTTCTTATAAAAAGAAAAATAGGAAGTTCCTCTGCTAATGCCATCTATGCTTCTGCAGATATTAAACCTGCAATTAAATGCTCTTCTCAGAAATCAAAAGGATGAAAAGAATGAACTTTATTGCATATAATTGGGGTTATATTTTACATGTATTTAAATAATGGAAATGTTCAACTATAGTTTTAAAAAGGCCACGGTCCCTACTTAGTCTTGCGTTGTACATGTACAATTCTACACATCTTTGTACTTTAACATACTTATAAAACTAATGGCAGTTCCATATAGAAATACAATATATGGGGCAACATGTGAATCCAAAAGGTATTTAGGATAGGGCAACTTGACTGGTATAATATACAAGGCATCTGCTGGTAACAAATGTTATGGGGGAATGGACCTACATAGCCAACAAATCACACACACACACTAGCTTAAAGTACAGCTAAAAGCTTCTGCATCACACTCGTATCAGATCTTAAATCCAGCAATCCTCAAAGTAAACAACAACAAAAAAAAAAAACTTCCTTTACCTTCCCTGACTGAGCCAAATCCTCCTTCGTGTCTCACAAGCCCCCCCTCACGGACACTGCAGGGAGGGGTTCGGCAACAGAGGCGGAGTTCTCAATCCAGAAAGCAGTGGACAGGACTGGGTGTGGTCAGTTACTGATTGACAAGCTACAAACTTGTGAATTAGCAATGGCAATGCTGATAGCCATTCACCCTGAAACATCTCATCCCACTGTAGTATAAGCAGGAACAGCCTACACGAGAGTGGAAACTCTGCTCTGAATTCAGGAGCAGTGCAGCATTGTTGCCATACCATCACAGTTAAATGGACTTCACTAGCAGGATCAACAGGTATTTGTGGGACTGTGCAATGGGACTAAGAGAAAACTGAAGATGTACTTATAATTCAGTGCCCTGGAATAAAACATTTTAATAGGAGGCCATAGTTCTACTTTCATGATGTACCTACTCTAGCTTAAATGTTCTTGTCCCACCCCCACAGATGACTGGTAGGAAAAGTCCTATACACAACAAGTAAAATAATTCTGCCTCATCTACATCTTATCAACTGTTAATTTATCCGAGTTTTCTTCCCTAAATTGTGACAAGACTGGATTAAGGAGTGCTTTGCAGCCATTATTTTAGATTGTAAGCCCTCACGGGCAGGGCCCTCCTTACCATGTTGTCTTGATTTGTATTGTAACTGTAATTTCTTCAGCTATATTGTAAAGCGCTGCGCAAACTGTTGGCGCTATATAAATCCTGTATAATAATAATTCTTAAAAGAGAACTATGGGGTAAGTGTTTTTCCCTATAGTTCTCTTATGGGTCACGGAAGGACATATACTAACCTCCTCTCGTGAACCAAAGCTCAGTATCATTCAAAATCCAAAACTTCCCATCGCACTCCTGACCGTAAAGAAATTCCCTACACACAGAGCGGGTGCGGCAGTGACAGTAGACGTCTCCACAGGTAACAATGAACAGATGGTAAGTCACTCGCACTCCAATATAGCTTCCAGTCAATCTATTTATTGACTAAATGGTGCAACATTTCCATACAACGTTTGGGAACCAAAGCAGTCCCTTCATCAGGCAAATCTATTTGGTTCCAAAACTTTGTATGGAAATGTTGCACCATTTAGTCAATAAAAAGCTTCTTTGTCACATGTCGGCTTGAACTACGAGGGTGAGTGATTTTCGCTCACCTCATAGTTCTCCTTTAAAAGGAGAACTATGGGGTCAGTGTTTTTCCCCATTAGTTCATAGTTCTATACCGCGAGCTACAGCTCGCGGTATACTGAGACGCCGCAGCCGGAGTGGATCCCGACTTAGATGACGGGATCCGCCCAGCTGCGTGAGTGAGAGCTGGCTCTGCCTATCTAGAGGCAGAGCCAGCTGTACCCGCCCGTCCGTTCCGCCAGTCAGCGCTGGCAGATGAGAGCGGGGAGAGGGGAATCCAGCCCCTCCCCCTGTAACGGCAGAGAGCCGTGACAGGATCGAGAGGCGAGCGAACCCGTTATGTTTTCCCTCACCTCCCGATCTACTGAGCCGACCTGTGACAGTCTCATTGTTACAGGTCGGCTAGAACTATGGGGTGAGTGAAAAGCACACCTCATAGTTCTCCTTTAAGTGTTTGTGCATGCCACAAATGCAGTTAATTATATAGATACATTAGATATAAACAGCAACAATGACATTTAATTTGCTAAAGCACTGTTTATCAAACACTTCCTTTTTTTTAAAAACTACAATACTTTCTTATATATCAGCAACCATGCAACCATGTCCTTTCAGCGTTGGCTGCACAGTATTTTTCGGTGCAAATTTCCTGATGGTAACAACGGTTGACCTGCCTGTGCAATGCTTGCACTTTCCATTTGGAGAGCATGATGATGATAAAGCAGGAGTAGAACTGATCGCGCTATAACAGGAAAGGCCCTAAAGTGATACTAAAGTTAAAAGGTTTTTAAGCTATTTCGAAAAGCACTTACAATGGATCCTGCGCCTTGATTTAGTTCCGTGCAGAATCAGCGGGTCCCCTGAACACTGGCCCTGATATCATGTTTTGGGGGTGGCTCCTTTCTCTTGCAGGGTCCTATGGAGCCACCCTTGAGTGTGTCTTCACAAACACACAGATACTGCAAGGCAAGACATTCTCCTGCTCCCTACTTATTCTGTGTCCTTCATTCTTTTTCCAAGCTAGTATATGGAAGGCTGATTGAGTCTGTCATGCCCTTTGTGATCTTGTACTGGACAGGAAGTTTAGGGCAGTAAAGCTAAGAGAGTTGGAGTCAGCTGCTCAGAAACATGAGGAAATACTTTGCTGGGCAATGTATATTTGTTTGATCTGGATTCATTATTTGAGAGTTTAATACTACTTTAACAAGGACCTTCATGGCAGGATAACCAGATATTTTAAGCTGTCAATATTGAAAATGACTTTTGAAATGACATTCCCATAAGATTTTTAATGACTGGATTTTCATATACTT